AATAAATAAATAAATAAATAAATAAATAAATAAATAAATAAATAAAGGAAAAAGAAAGAAAAAAATTTGTTGCCAACATTTTGAAGGGGCACACAACACACATACGAGTCTTTGGTATAAAATAAACTCATTCTACAATGAGGAAAATTGGACCTACGATCCTGACGCTGTTTAAACCTCCACTGTTGCTGATTTCGTATAATCGATGGTGATGGCTGCAATTTCTTTAATGGGTACTTCGCGTAAAGAAAAAAAGCCGTACAAAATAGCGGTATTTTCGGGGAAATCCCTGAGTTTAAGTCGGGGGAACGCGTCACATGACCTATTTTGACCAATCGTGTGCGAATTATAAATGTCATAAGCCAGCTACGAAGTCAACGCTCCAAGCGTATCGGCCAATACCTTCGTTTCGTTCATTTGCTTCTGTTCTAACTGCTGCATTCTTCTTTTCCTTCGCTCTGCCAGTTTGTCTTCCAGCATCTGCCGTTGGCGTAGCTTGTTCAAAGTGAGACTAGTTTGAAAAAGAACAAAAAGAATCAGGGCTCACTTCTTGAAAATTACCCTATTTTCGGATCGAGAAATTGAAGTCCACGATAAGTAATAGTAACTGGATGGAGTGGAGTACAGTTTAGGGGGCAACCCCCAAGTAATTTCAAAATCGGGCAAGCACGCAGCCCGAGGCCGATTTGAGATTTCGAATGGGATAGTATCAAATTACAAAAAAAGTTGTACTTAGATACCTGTAATAGGACACCTACGTGATCGAGTGCCAACTACGGGACAAAAAAGCGCGCGGAAAACAATTCAATCGATATCTTTTTGCAGAAAAAAAATAAAGACAAATTAAAGGTGGGAATTCCGAAAAATTAACGTATTATAATGAGCCAAAGAGGAACAGGAATGGTTAGGGTGGAATACAGATAAAGAGGGATTAGGAAACCTGAACTTGAAAACTTCAACCTTTGAAGGAAAGATGGAGTGAACACAAGTGATTGCAAAGAAACAGTACCTGCTTTCTAGTTCAGCAAGGTTTCTCTCGTGCTCCTGGATGATTCTGTCTCTTTCTTCTTCCGACATGGCCACTTGATTGACTATCAAATCTCTGTCAAGTTAAAAAAAAAAAAAAAAAAAACGAAAAAAAACACACACACACTCTGAAAAGGAGTTTCGATTCTATTACAAATACAAATAATTAAGTGTTAGAAATTTAAAATTTTGATTATAAAATATGTAAAAACGGACTATTCAGACTAACACCAAACTCCCACTGTTAACTATTCAAAGCAGGTGAAAAAACCTAAACGCAAAGGTAAACCTATCTTGTTTCGTTTTACCTTAAAAGGTTCCGCTTTTTTATTGCTTTCGTTTTTAATGTTAATTAAAACGCCAACAGTATTCTTCGCCAACAAACAGCCTCTATTTGGCTGTCTTACGCAGTTTTCAAAACACGTTTTGACGTGAACTATGACTTTACATCAAGACCTTACCAAATTAATTATTCAACAGTAACCACCTCAACAAGAAGGACATATTGAACTTCCTGAAATGTTGCAAAATGGCAATTTGCTTTCCAAGAGAAGGATCCATTAAATAGCAGAAGTGCTGGTGATATTAAATAGAAACATGTAAAATGATTCTATTTAATTTGTACGAATTTAAGCTGTGTTTTTACACGAACATGATAGAGGTATTCAAACATTTCCAATTTATTGCGCACAGCTTACTGAAAACAATTATGCAAATAGTTAATTTCCGCTATGTCATGCAAAGGCAAACAGAAAACATTTCCTAAATTTACATAACCTTCAGTTTTTTTGTTGCTTATTCGCCTTTATGAATAATGCGCTTTTTCACCGTACCAAAGGGGAAAAAACTAATCAAGAGATACCTCAACATAATTAAGTGAGTATTCAAGTGCAGACAATTAAGAAGCCCTCACAGCCGGAGAACCCAAACGTGAATAGCGAAGTCCTACGAATTAAGTCGAGAATGGGTTGAGTATTACCATTTCTTGATTAACATTTCATCCATAAATGGCGCAATAAAGTTTCCTTTCAATTATTCTCATTTGCTACTGTTCAAAATTATTTTTACAGACTCTTGTAATATTTTATGTGTTTGCCTACCTATCAACTACAGCGGTGTCGATTTTCAGTTTTAAACGTTTTAGCCAGTCAAGGAAACTTGTAATTACACATACTCGGCGGAGGGTTTCTTCCAGCTGCCGAGAGCATTCAATTCTATACAACCGTCTTATTGTTTTACCTCTGCTAAAGTATCTGGTTGCGTCATTAACCACTATTTCCTCAAGACAATCGGAAAACAACTGACAAAACTTAGCTACAATTAAAAACAGCGAACGGTAGACAAAGCCCAACTCGGATCGTTGTAACAAAAACTATTAGCTTGCTATTTTTAGTAGTAAAAGTACACACTTTTACATAATATGGATTTAAGTCCAATAGGCTTGCTCTAAGATGAGAGTGACTGAAATTCACGCTCTGCTTAACCGCATAAACTTCATTCAAGAACCTCTGTGGCTTCCAAATATCATTGATCGTGATTAATTCGGTGCTTATAATAACTGCAATTAAATAGTTGCAGTCATACGCTGCTGCAAATGGCCTCCCCTTCTCACTTCTAAGTTGACATCAAGTTTTCTGAATTCCATCCTCTTTCGGCTTTGATCAGCAGCGACGTTTAGTGTCACAGTGTTTTGCGTCGGATCAGCGACATTGGTAGACCCTGCACTGTCAGAGAGGTTTGTGCCGCAAAGTTTTTGCAGGCCAATTCTCGCTTTCAAACTTCTATCGAACGCGCAATAGATAATGGGGTTAATCGCCTCGTTGATGAAAGCCCCAAACATAGCAATTTCTTGCAGAACGTGTCCTCGGTGAACGCTTTCTGTGCCGGAAACAATCCGAACAAAACTCAGAACAAATGTCGGGAGCCAGCNAATTACATGACGTTTATTTCATCAAATAGCAAGAGGACCTGGAAGAGAAACTTCCACAAAGACGAGTTAAATAAATTAAAAGTAGTCCTGAAAAGTTATTGTTATGCAAATTGTTTTGTTTTACGGTTAATTTTCTTTGTTCACGATAGAAACCTGACTAAATAGAGACGCGTTGCTTTTGGAGCTTACTGTTACTAGGTTCTGGAGTTAAAAACAAAATTAATTAATTAACAAGAAGGCAAACGTAAAAAGAAGAAAAAAAAAAAAAAAAAAAAAAAAGAAACGAAAAAAAACTCCAAAGATTTGACAAAGTTTGCCAATGAGCAAATACACCTATATCATCAGTTTTCCATACCGACCCTTTAAGAATATCAGCTTTTAAAACAGACTTTATTGTGGTTAAAAAAAATTGAAGCCTAACCCCACTATCTTGTCCTCCTGTTTTCTGACTTCAGCTTGCTCAGCTTGTTCCTCTTTCATTTTCTTTTCCAAGGCGGCGCGTTGTTTTTCCAATCTTTTCTAAAAAGCCAGACCAATCAAATTGTTAACAAGAATAAAAGGAACTGAGAACGGAGAGTTGACAGTTTATGAGTTGAACAAATTAAAGGCAGTTTACGAACGACACACCTCAGAAAACGACCACTGTTCTAAAAAGAAGAGTGGTCGTTAGTTAGGTCAGGAAGAGTCTCCTTGGTTTCAGTTTCGATTGAGAATATATATCAAACAGCCAAAACCGCGTCTGACCACATTTTCAAACACCTCGAAGCTCGTCAAAAATACTTCAATGCGCATTCTATTTCCAACTCTCTTCTCGGTGTTTGGATATGTAGTCAAACACGGTCTTTCCTAATATATCTGTTTGATATATTACTTCAAAACTCTCGCAATTCTGTGTTAAAATTGTCTTTCTATTGGTTGTGAATACAGTACTAGCTGTTACAAATCGTCAAATCAGAATTTAATAGCGCAAAAATTCAGCCTGAAGTCACTACTTAGACCGAGCGTGGAAAAACAAATCGAGGCCGTTTCTGGGTGGTAATATAAAAACTGAATTACTTGTTCGCTGTATTATTTAACCAACTAACTTCAAGCATTTCTCTCTGCCGCCTTCGTTCCTGTTCTCTAGCGTCTTGCTGCATAGCAACATCTGCCATATGTCGCTCCAAAATGGCTTCCTTCTCAGACTCGGATAAACCTATAACCATCGAAATAAAACAACTTCAGTCGAACCCGTATGTAACGGCCCAGTATTAACCGGCCACCCACTATTATACGGCCAATTTCTTAAGTGTCGAGGGTGCCCGTTATAATACAGGTCAGACTGTATATATCAGCGCGTCTACATTTGAAACAGCGTTTAACAACAAGCGAGTTCAGCTAAAGAAATAACGCTACAATAATGCCCTTTCGACTGTTAGATCTACAGTCTTCGACGGGTAAAATCTTTACCCGTCGAAGACTGTAGATCTAACAGTCGAAGCTCGTATATCTATAAACATTTTTAGCCAGAGATCGTTTTTAAAATTTGTATTAAAAACCATTATGGTTACCTTTGTTCACTAGCTCTTGATACATTTTCTGGACATTGTTTTTAATCATCTGGTTCCCCTCGCGCAACTGTTGATCTCTGAGAGTTTCAACTTCCTCGGCAGCCTACGGGAGAATTGAATTATTTTATTTTGTTCACATCTACTAATAAGAGTGCGACTTCCAACAATCAGAGTCAGACAATAACTTGTCCTCGTTATTAGTTATCAGCGCCTACAATTCAAGGAATTCGTAATTTACTTCGAATCTGTTCAGTGAATGCTGATGGTGAAAAACCAAAAGACATTTCGAGGTTAAATTTATGATTCTTGTCTGTTGTTTCATTCTTGTACAGTTTTTTCATTATCCGTTCTTCTCTAAAAAGCAATCTAATTTTTCTCCTTCATTTCAAAGTCTCTTCCTGAGCTTTCAGAGTTGCATACATTTATCGTGACTAAATAAGAAACACATTCTGGTCCTTGCCCTATATTCGTCTGTGACATCTCCGGGGCAGAAACGATACGCAAACGTTACTGATCAAAGCTCACCTCTCTGTCTGAATTCCTTTCTATTTCTTCGATTTCTTGCCGCTGTTTTTGCAACATTTTCTGCTTTTCACTTATCGCGGCCACAGTGTCTAAAGGGAAACAGAGTATCTGACAGGTCTCAAACAACACATTACATTTATAAGAACAAACTTATATTCAGTTATGTTTCGTTATTCATTTATTTATTTTCATTCTGCGACAAGAGAAACTAAGAGTAGTAGAGTAACTAAGTCGTTGCTATCGAGAGACCGTACCTTTCTCGTTGTGAAATTGCTTCAAAATTCAGTGATGATCAAGTTTTGGTGGCGAAGATTTTATAATACTATCGTTTACGCAAGAGATGATAATTAAAAGGTCGGTAGGCTCTCATAAGTAAAAGGTTCTCCCTTGCAAGAGTTCCGTAACATGGTAAACGACTTGATGCGTTACTATCCGAATTCTGATGATCATGTTAAGAAAACATTATTCAGCATTCACATAGAGCGATTTGAAATTGATTGTCGAAAGTAATCAGGTAATTACTTTGGTTTTGGTTTTGGTTTTGGTTTTACTACGGTTTGAGAATTGCGCAAGTAGTCTGATATTGGTAAGCTGCCCCTACGTCTCCGAGGATGGGAAGTAACTGGTTTGGTTTTGATTTTACGACACTCAGTTGAAAACCGCTCTAAAAACAAAACAAACACACAAACAAACGATGAAAGCAAGGGAAGGAAAAAGTGGAAGTCGTGGAGAACAAACGGTAATGGTGACAGACTGAGAATGTAGATGTACCTCCAACGAGAAGTTCCTGCTTACCGATTTCTACTTGTTCAAATTTCTCATCTTGTTGATCTTCAAACTCCTTCATCTGCCGTTGATGCTCGCGCGCCTGAAAACCAGTTAAACTAGTTTAGCGAGATAACAGGAGAAGCTATGAACACAACTTAAGAAAATCTTGCTTTGGCAGAAAAAAGATGGTTAGCAAAATTAGTCAGACCAAAGTAAGTTTTGAGCACTCTTCGACCTTGGAAAAAATCCCGCCGTTTTACACCTTAAAATTGGGAATTGTTAATTCTTGTGCGAATGTAAGATATAGTACCTTTTCCTCGATTCTCTTTTGCTTCAGTGCCGTCAGTTTCTGGTGTAATTTCTGTTCCTGTCGCTTTCTGTCCTTTGCAAGCTTATTATCCACAACTTCCACTTCTTTCCTGAAGCGTTCAAGGTAGACGGCGGCATCTTCGGAGTTAAGATTGGATGATCTAAAGATGCACAGTGATAAAACAGAATTTTACGACTCAAAAGATGTACATGTAACAGGAAATAGCTGTGGCATTAACCAACCACAAAAAAAGCTATTTACATTAAGAGCATTCTCAGCTTCTACTGCGCCTGCGCTTAGAAACCGTGAACACTCAAACAGAAGGAACAGCATTACAAGAGGAGCACAACATTACCTAACAAGATTCTCTAGTGCTTCAGCTTGGTTTTCTTCAAGCTTTCCCAAATCTTTCTTCTTGCGTTCTTCTTCCTCTTGCTATTAAAGAAGTACCACAAGAAACAACAAATTAAGGATTAATAAATAAATTAATAAATTAATTACTTATATGACTGAGATAATTACTCCATTTTTACCCCATTTCTACTCCTGGGTGGGGAAGGGCACTGAGAGAGTTAAATGTCTTGCCCAGGAACACAACACAATGTTCCCGAGAAGGGCTCGAACCCAGACCGCTCGATTCGGAGGCGAGCGCACTAACCATGAGGCCACCGCGCCAACACAACAATGCAATGAGACAATCATAATTAAAAGCGGATTCATATAGCGATAACTCACTTTCTGTCTCGCCAAAGCCCGTCTCTCCGCTAGTCTCATCTCTAGCGCCATAACACGTCTAGTTCGTTCCTCGTCCGTCGCCTTGTCAATGGCGGCCATGTTGGATAGGTGATTCTTCATGATGGCGCTCGCTTGTTCCTCATTCAATTTGGAGTCCTTGATCAAGTCCTGTATCAGTTTGTTCTGAGACTCTTTCAAAGCAAAACGCTTGCTGATTGATACTTCCTATAACGAGAAAGAAAATTAAGCAAAAGTCAAAATCAATGGCATAATATAATGTAACCCTTTTTCCTCCCAACATTGAAATCTTAAACAAGTAGTGTAGCTGTAACTTTCAAGGCTGTACAAGGTGGTTCTAACTTTTACGTCTGCAGATGAAACCCTACTGTGTGACCATTCAAATGAAAGCTATCCAGCAGTACTTGCACGTGGCACTGTAGATGAAACACTAGTGCGTGACCATTCCAATAAAAGCTATTGACAAATACTTTTGTTATGTTTGTTATGTTGTGCAAGGTACTTCCATGTTCTAACTGTTAGAGACATTGTAGTTTGCGACCAGTGTGTGAGACAAGTGACCATTTAAATGCAAGGTACTGAGCAGTACTTTCATGAGGTACTGTTTTTCTATGCGGTACAAGGTGGTTTTAACTTTTAAGTTTGTAGATGAAAACGGACTGTGTGACCATTCAAATGAGAGCTATTGGGCAGTACTTTTATGTGTTACTGTTTATTATACTGCATAAGGGCTAAGGTGGTTCTAACTTTTAAGTCTGTGGATAAAACCCTAGTGTGTGACCATTCAAATGAGAGGTTATATTGAGTATTATTTTCATGTGGTACTATTGTACTGTCCAAGGTGAATCTAAATTTCCAATTTCTGGATGAAACCCTAGTGTAACCATTCCAATAAAAGCGATTAAGCAGTACTTTCATGTGGTACTGTTAATTATACTGCACAAGGTGGTTCTAGCTTTTGCGTCTGTAGATGAAAGCGTAGTGTGTGACCATTCAAATGAAAGCTACTGAGCAGTACTTTCATGTGGTGCTGTTTATTGTACTGCACAAGGTGGTTCTAACGTTTTACTCTGTAGATGAATCCCTGGTGTGTGACCATTCAAATGAAAGCTATTGAGCAGTAGTTGTGGTGCTGTTTATTGTACTGTTCAAGGTGGTTCTAAATTTTGAGTATGTACATGAAAGCATAGTATGTGACCATTCAATTGAAAGCTACTGAGCAGTACTTTCATCTAGTACTGTTTAGCGCATTGTTCAGGTGTTTAACCACTCGAATGAAAGTCATTGCACAGCACTTTCACATGGCGCTGTTCATTTTTCTTCGTTATTGTTCCTTTCTTGTCTCTCTTTGGTTTCTTTTACCTTTCTAAGCTTTTCCATCTCCACATCTTGTTCCAGTTTTAAATTCTGTTTCAGTTCCTGTTCTTGAGCGTCTTGCCTCCTCTTCAGGAGCTCTAGAATGTTTTTCTTCTCCCGCTGAAATTAAAGTAATCCACTCTTAGACCTGAGAATCCCATTCAAATGTGTTAGGCTTTTTTATTTCTTTCCAGTCTCTTTACTTGTTGTCATACTTTTCGTGTAATATTGCTTATGAGAACTTCGTCGTGCATCAAGGAAATATACTCTTGCCTCGCATCGACAAAAGAGACATGCTGTCTTATACACAACATGTATTAAAAAGAAACTCTAAATAATTGTTACAGTCGTTGATGCAAACGAGGCTGAATGTTCTTTAGTTCTTTTGTTTATTCTGTTTTTGTATCGTCTTTTGCTCCTTCCATTCCTTTTCTTTGTTCGTCCCAGCTTTCCTTCGTTTGGCAAACAGACACTCTAATAAAGCAATTTATTCGCCTTTAGCGTTCTTCCTGGTTCATTCGCTCCGTCATTTATCCTTTCAACCTTTGCTTCCACCCTTTTTTTTATTATTATTTGTTCTTTTTGTGAACTGACAGTCGAGAAAAGTGATTCCCTTGATAATCTTCCTTCCCTTCTTTCTTTCCTTCGTTCTTTGGTTCCATTCGTTCATTCGTTCGTTTATTTGTTCCCTTGTTTCTTTCTTCATTAACTGAAGGGCATTTTGATAGGGGTAGGGGCAAGGCAAAACAGAGGTTAGCCCGTATCTCAATCCAAGGAAAAATTTGTTCAAAACTTGTGTTAAGGCTTACAAAACAGTAACTACAGACAACATATAATTTCACCTCATTTACAAGCCCTTTAATTTTGTTTTCTGTTTCCTCTCTCTCTTTTCTTTGTTCTCTATGCAAGGCATCCAAACGACTCTACAAAAATAACCACAAACTGCAGTGAGGAACTAACAGGAGGCACGCTGATCAAAGTATCAAAGTAGTCATGACAAAAGTAACGCTCCGTCACTCGCTACCTACCTTTCCTTCCTTTTGCAATCTGTTCCTCAGTTCAGCGGATTTCCGTTTATATTCCGCCGCCATCTTAAACGCCACAGCGCCGATTGCTTGCTTGATTTCCAAGCCAAACTGGAGAAAAAATGAATATCAGGAACACTGAGTGAGATCTTAGCTGTTTTGAAGTGAAGATTGTTTTCACTCAAGCGTAAAAGTGAGGGGTTTTTCTTCCCATTTTTCTCATGGAACATTTTCAAGAGCACGTTGACGTGTCTCGCTATCCTTCTACCGTAAAACCTCGTTTTTATTTGTGTGCTTTTAATAAAGTGTGCTTATCCTAAATGCGTTTCTCATCTGGTACGGTGTTAACACTTCAAAACACAGGCTCTACTGAGCGAATGTAGTATGGGCACACGTCGTTCTCTTTTTTCTACACGCACGCGCATGTCGCACTGTCTTTGCTACACACGCGCGCATGTTGCACTGTCTTTACTACGTGCGCGCGCATGGTGCACTGTCTTTGCTACACGCGCGTGCATATTGCACTGTCTTTGCTACACGCGCGCGCATGTTGCACTGTCTTTACTTCACGCGCGCGCAGGTTGCACTGTCCTCTCTACACGCGCGCGCATGTTGGACTGTCTTTGCTACACGCGCGCGCATGTTGCACTACCTTCGCTACACGAGCGCGCATATTGCACTGTCCTCACTACACGCGTGTGCATGTTGTTCTTTCAAGCTAAATCCCGCGCTGTGACTTCTAGATGTCTTTCACTAATTTGCGGCTTTAAAAACTCCCACGTTAGTCACCTTCCCATTTTTCTGCGCTGGGTATAAGCCAAAAAAGTAAAAATGCTTGCATTATTTATGCCTAAATATCCTGTCCCTTGGTGTACGAACTTACTTTGTTTTCTTGTTCAGAGGATATTTCCCTCTTTACACGCAGTTTCCTAGCCAACAATTTGAGTGCTTTGATGAACATGTTCTGTCTCTGAGTTTCTAAGTCAACATCCAGGGCGACAGTGGATTGCACATCAAGGCTGCGGACGAAAATACCAAAACAATATTGCCTCAACAACTGAACACATTTCTTCAATTATCCTCTTAGCCCTTTTGTATTTGGTACATCAGGAGAATTACATTTTTAATGACTCTTAAGGTGGCTCTCCATAGTGTTACGATCGATCTTGCGCTGAGGACGAAAGCTTAAAATAAGTAATCTGCGTGCTCAAAGAAAAACGTCAGTGTTTTTCTTTCACCTGCACAAACCCTTCCTTTTTCGGTGTTTAAAATTCGTATCCTACCGGATTCGACATCATGTGACAAAATTGGGAAGATTTCACCGAACAAAATTCAAGATCAGAAATAACGCCTGATAAACGGTACAAAAACGCACGCTTGGGTACTTATAATTCAATACTAAAAGCCAAGATTTTAACAGAGATGATAGGAAAACACTATTTTATCACTGCCTGTTGCATTCAATAAGTTTAAGAGGACTGGGTGTAAAAACAAAGGCAACAACAGTATTCAAAACATAACGTTTGCGCGCGCAACGCCATAAATGATTACTCTATGGAGCCACCTTAAAAAAGACAATTCACGGAATTCTGTATCATAAAAAAAGGAAAAAAACTACACAGCTATTTATCACTTCGAAGCTGCTAAAGGTAAATTTATGACCGCCATAGTACGTTTGCGTTCCTGAAGTTTCTAGTGTTAGCCTTCCGTAGTACCAGTGTAAACCTCTATATCATGCGATAAAAAGATGGCAAAAATTTTCTTCTCAAGAAGAAAATTTTAAGCGGGCGTATACTGGACTAAAGAAACATGAAAAAGGCGTCAAATGGGAGAGTTGTGAAGCATCAAAACGAGCTGGGAGTCTCGACTTAATTGTCCATTGCACACAAATTTGTTTTCAAGAGGTGGCAAGTCAGTGACAGTATAAATCGTTTTGTGTTTGTGACAACCACCGTCTTAAAGGATAACTGTAGATAAATGAAATCATCTCCATCTCTTTCCAGTTTTCTCATTCTTTGGTACTGAAACAGGTTTTACAGACAACAGCCGGTCATGCATACAAGTGAACAACGCGTTGCGATTCATTACCTATTTAACTCTTTCTCTGTTTGAGAGGCGTTGTCCAGCGACAGAATAGGAACAATGCTTTCGTCTGTTTGAACAATGCTGTAAAAAAAAAAAAAAGATTTGAATCATCTCTTGAAATCTATAGAATCGTCGTGTACAAAGTTGCACAGTTAAAGCAGTTATGTCTTCAAGATTTTTTGTTTCTCGCACGTGAAAATTCAAACCTAACCAACAATTGTTCTCGAGACATAACACGGATTTCTGCAGAGTTAAGCTGTAACCATAGCATTTTTCGATCCAATCTCACACATTTCTCGAACAAAGGATAAACTTAGGTCAGGAAGAAAGAGGACTGTTTTCTTAGGTCTTGTCCACACTACTCCGGANTTGAAAAAGATCTCTATTGTTTAAAGATTGTCGTTCGTAATCTATGTCAATCTTACGGAGCCGCAATTATCCTTGTTTAGAGTACCAGTTGGTATAACTAAACAAGTTTAGTTTGTGTTGAGCGGGATACTTAAATAATCACATCGTAAAACAAGAGAGAGGCATTCCAGCTTAAGTGCAGAGCACAACAGCTCGTTAGCTCCTCGTTCTGCTATGTGACTGGTTGTCATTGTGTAAGTAGTCCCTAGTCCCAGGCCTTACCGTGTAGTAGGGAGCCACCTTGCCTTTGTCGCAACACTTAAGGACTACTAACACCAAGATGGCGGCGATCACGGCACCGACCAGCAAGCCAAGAAGAACACCAAGAGCAAAGAAACCAAACACTTTACGGCGCTGGAAGAGAAAAGGAAACTCTGACGCTCGTTTAACGTAAGTACCGAAAAGAGATTCGAATTAGCGCCCTCCCTGCAATAAGTGCCCCCTTTCTATAAGAGGAAGAGGTGCGGTGGCCTCATGGTTAGTGCGCTCGTCTCCCGATCGAGCGGTCCGGGTTCGAGCCCTGACCGGGGACATTGTGTTGTGTTCTTGGGCAAGACACTTTACTCTCACAGTGCCTCTCTTCAACCAGGTGTATAAATGGGTACCGGCGAACTTAATGCTGGGGGTAACGCTGCGATAGACTAGCATCCCATCCAGGGGGGAATAAAAATATTTCTAGTCGCTTCATGCTACAGAAAGCATAAGCGCCCCTCCAAAAAAGCGCTCCTACAAGGGACAGGACCTTGACATAGAATATATACTGGTTGCACGAATGAACTATGAAGTCTGCTTTGTCAACTGATTGTAATATTGAGCACCCTGACTATCAGAGCCCCTATTCTTACAGTTCTTGAATAAAAGTACCTATTGCTTTTTTTTCCTTTTCCTTTTTTTTTCTTTTTAATTGAAATACTGTACCATTTTCAGATGTTTATGTCCAAAAAGAAATACACGCTCTGTCCCTAATACCCCCCCCCCCCCCCCCCCCCNAGTCCATATTTCCTTGCAATATCTACAAAACACAAAATGTGAACTTGAAAAAGGGGGACCATGTCACACTCATTTGCCAAGAGTATACAAATTAAATGTTGTCATTGAGGTATCGATACTTGAATAACAATAATTTAAGGTTCCTTGAAGGTCGGCAAACACTAGGGCACATGTTGTGGGGACATGAAATGGGGACAAGTTGAGCAACACTGTTATATCGTGTGACGTGCCATATTCCGCGCCATTTTCTAAACTACTCATTGGATAGACAGTTTAGAATTCCCAAGAGAAACGACGCTACTGCCCCCCCGGGGGGGAGGGGGCATACCCATATGAAAGGTCAAGGATGTTCGTTGTCTCGCTTAATTTAAAGAGTGTAAATCAAGGAGTTTGGTGTCTCTTTAAGGGCAACCAGGACGAAACACAACTATTTTTTCATGTCAAAGTATCTTTTAGGGTGCACTGGAAAAAAATAATAATAAAAGAAAACGTCGTCATTTCTGTTTTAAGTGGTATCTAGAGCTAAGACAAAGCTCGAGCCACGATTAGTCTCCCTTAGAAGTTATATTCAAATTTTCTGACGAGCATTCCCCTCCCCTCCCCCTCCTGCCTCCGGGAACTAATGGATCTTGATATTCAAGACTTGTTTAGCAACAAAAAACAAGACTCGTCATTCCCTAGAAACAAGACAAGAGATGTGCGCCGCTGTGACTTGTTGCCTTTCAAGCCTGAGTTAAATAAATCTCTTACCTCCACAGATTTCACAATCGACAGAAGTGGTTTCAGCAGCGGTCCGATAATAACAAACTTTTTAACGGAAGAATCTGATCCAGCATCAAACTTCAACGTGGCAAGCAAACTGAGGGGCCGTCCGCTCAACACCAGCGGCCTGTTTGCAGTCCGAAACTTCAGGAAAACCTCAATGGTGTCATTGGGTCCAGAACCAGGCAGATTCAATACAGAACCAAACGCCACATTCAGAGCTTCATTCCCATTCACTGGTGTTATAGTCGGGAGCTGGGATAATGTTAAGCCGTCTCCATGCTTCACATAGCTTTCATTCAGAACAGGAGAAAGGGTATACACCATACCGGCATTGCGTTTGACGCGCGACCTATATGTACAAAAGATCAAATAAAGAACATTAGGGCATTAGTTGCTGGAGCACTTTTCAAATGAGTGTCGTAAAACCAAAGTAAATAATCACTCGGCCAATCACAATTACACAGGCAATCCAGAGAACCAATCAAAACTCAAAACAAAAGCCGACGAAAAGCGCGGGAAAACGTGTGCGAGCGAGCTACACTCTACGATTGGTTTTGGTTTTACTTCTGACAAGATGACAATGTGGCGCAAGTTTTTGAAGGCCAATCTCGTAGCGTGATACATCTACCGAATGCAAACAAATGAACGCGAATTTTACTTTTAACACTCAAGAGAAAACTCTATATTGAATTACATAGTCTTTAACACGTAGAGACTAAAGGAGCAAAAGAATAAAAATATTTAAATGGCCTAAAACAGCAAAGTGCGCGCGTGTAGTCAAATTCAAAAGAAAAGACCAACTTTGCATGTCTCACCTCGGTCTAACCACTTCACTGCCACTCCTCATTCTTGTTACATCTCTCCTTTTACGAGAGAGATCAATGACATTGGCTGGAACCGCTGGCAGATCAACAACCACACTTAAATTGGTTTCACACTCTGGCAGTTGTAGATGAAGAGTAAAATTAACAGGATCCCCTGCCTGTAACTTCTCCGCGTTCTGACTAGCTAATATTGTGGAATTGATAGACTTCGTGGTGAGATTGGCAAGCTTTTTCTCCTTGTAACTGGCAAAATTGTCAGGTCTATTGCCGACATCCGAGCTATAGTACTCGACAGTCACCATTTGAGATATCAACTGCTTGGGACTGAGGCGACCTAGAAGAACTGATACATAACTGCATTGGATGTTTTGCGATGGTGCGAGCGATGAAATAGAAAGTATCGACTCTTGTGTAGTGACATTAAATGTCGGTGTTCCTCGGCTGCATGTTACGCTCAGCCTACTGGTATCAAGTGCTTCAAAGGTTACCACAATGGACAAGGAATGGGCTGTTGTTGTTGGATCAATGTTTTCCAGCGTGAGGTCATATTCCACTCTGTCGCCACCATCAAAAGATCCAGTAGGGGGGGTAAAGCTGACTGTCACAAAGGGATCAGGACGGAATGTCAAGAATGTACCCTACAGGGAAAAATTAGACAGTTAACAAAATCATTGCACAATACCACAGTCCCCTCAAAATATATAGGGCTACTGGTAAACTGTATATAGCTTACTGGTCACATTGAATGCCTATAATGCTAAATGATTTCCTGATATCACAAATTCACAAAACGTGCGGAGGCCTAAAGCTACACGTTCCATCCAATGGCTCAAAGCTAGCGGATTTTTCTGCTAGGCCAGTGGATATGATCTATTCCATGCCCAAAGGACAGTTTGGGACTTTTTTTAGCAAGCAAAAAGTACTGTCTTAAGCCATGCAGAAAGGTCTATGCTCCAAATTGCCAAAAGTTTCTTTTGACCGCGCCCAGTACCACACTTCTCTGGAGCATCTTTAAGATCACTCTATTCCTATTGTCTTCTTCCCAAAGTTATACCCAAGAGTAAACATTGTATTGCCTTAAAAATCAAATTTCACTGTGAAGCTGACAAGCGGCAAGAATATTGTCTTGAGGTGCCCCGATAACATAAACTCTCGGGAAAGATAAAAACGGACAAAACCGAGACCCTGCAACTCATCACAAAGGACTCTGAGATTTCAAGACCAGATTGAACGTGTTCAAAGACCCGCAATTTTGTAGCCTTTTGCAGCATTTGCAACATCTTTGGCGTAAAGGTTTGACGATCTGCAAGGAGAATTCATAGTCACAGCTCGATCCTGAAGGCCTCAAAACCCTACAAGGACTCACACAAGTCTCTTGATGTTGTTGTTGTTGTTATTGTTGGTTTTGTTGTAGATGTTGTTGTCTGAAGTTCCTTCTTTTCAAACCGAGCAGAACCAAACCTCACAATGTATTTATTTCACATTGCCACACAGTTACATGCAGCTTCCACTATTTAAATACTCCACACTTGCAGCTTCTCTATAACAATCCCCTTCAATGAAGTTATGAACTCCAGATTACACAAGGATGCAGCCTGAGACAACTATTTCACACAAAAATCAAGTGCAGATAATCTAATTCTTTTAGTATAAATCTACTAGTCATTCAAATAAATTATCTAAAGCCTCTTCACAGACAATTCAAAACGCAAAGGGTAGGCTGCCACTTTGTCTCGTCAGCCACGCACTGCTTAAGGCTGCTCACTACCTCAAACAGAATAGATAGTGCAAGTAGCGTAACCAATAAGACAACAGCATTGGTGATAGAACACTAGTACATTTAAGCTAATTAAACTTATCCTTGTCTCTGTGGCACAAGAAGGTACTATGACTTCCCAAGTATGTAACATCAGACTGCTGTTGTTCAGTACTCATTTGCAAACATCGCACAATACCTGATCAGAGTTCTCCTCATACTTCCTTCCTTCTCGAGGGGCCAGACTGGGCGGTAATGTTACATAGGAGAGGTACACTGGAGATGATACAAAAATACTCGGCAAGAGGCTGCTTACAGTTGTAGCCTTGTATTGGAAAGACACACTCTGTCCAAGGGGTAGATCATTGGATATTTGATAGACAAGGACGTTGTTGTTAACATTATTGTACCTAAAAGACAAAGTAAATAATTTAATTAGTACCTCAGGAGCTACTCAGCTTGTTATCAAGTCAATCAATCAATCATCAATCATTTTTTTTTTTTAATTTCTTAGTTTGCATTTCTCAGTTGGACTGGCCTGCGCATAGCCAGTGCTAGTCTAGGCTGGCCAGTCTAATAAATATTATCAAGATAATAGTTACAAGTGTCTTTAATATCAATCAATAGAAAAATAGAAAGCTTGCAAAAAGTAAATAAAATAAAAATAAAACAGTGGGAGAAGAATGAGAAAAGAGGTGAGGGGTTATCAGATAATATTATTTTTAAATTGTTTTTTACTACTACTGATATTTTAATTTAGAAATAATTTTGTGTACCTCAATGAAGGAATCTTCGTCTTCGAGAACACTTTGTAGTATATTTTTAATACTGAGTTTGAATGATTGTTTTGGTAGTTCTCTCAGAGAGCTTGGTATCTCATTCCATAGTTTAGCACCAATTCTTAAAAAGGTATTTTTTTTTTTTATTTTTTATTTTTTTTATTTTTTATGCTAAGGTTTAATTTGTTTGATGTTAGCCAAACATACAATTTACGTAGTTCAGCATTCACAGCATATCCTAATGACTTAAGGTTTAATAAGATGTATAAGGCATATACTGGTGAGATATTAGTGTCATCAGCAAAGAGATAAAAGTTGAGTTTTTTGGAAGCGGTATAAATATCACTGTTATACCTCCCAACTCAAATACGTTTTCCTATTGGACAAGAACATGTCACGTGTCATGGGTCAAAACTCACTAGGGCGAACAAAACTCACTAACTCCCTGAGAATGAACAACTTGAACTTTCGACTTGCGTGTGATCAGGTTGTGCTTCTTGAAACCACAGCAAATTTGTGAGCCAGCTGGCGTCAAGCAAACGATTTCTTCACAGTGTTTTTTTTCTTTTTTTTTTTTTCTTTCTTTTTTTGAGTTAGGAGGTATAACAAAACACTTAATGACTGGTCCCTGCAGAAAACAGTGAGTTTTGTATCCCCTCGACCTCAATGTTCCCTGAGGCAAAGCCTCAGGGAACATTGAGGGTCTCGGGAAATTACAAAACTCTCTTTTTCCCTTGGGGCCAGTCATTAACTGCATACTGATACACAATAAAAACATTAGCTTTTGCAGTCTTCCTCTCTAACCCAAAATTGTATGTAACAGCAACAAAAAATTCCACTAAATGGGCTTCTCAAGTTATAACACTCCACTTTTTAGCATTTGCACCCTCCCAATCAGATAGAAGTCTTGTCTTCACATGCTTGTACATCAAAGTTTAAGAACCAACTCTACAGGGTTTAAATCTTTAAAGAACTGCATGATATGGTAGAGACCTACTGTGCAGTACATGGACATGTACATTAAGTAGCTTAAACGAAACTTTTTCATTCAGACTTAACATCAAAATTTCATTAAGAGCCGGGCAGTGGGCAAATTAACCAATTGTGAGGATGGTTTTGCCTGCCTGGTTTGACCATCTAGAGGAAAGGTTTTCTTTTAAGGAGTTCATTTCAGAAAGTTTTGCCCTCCTGCAAGAAACTGCTTCCTGCTGAAGACGTTTATGAAACCCCAGCATTCATGGGCCATGAAAAAATTTTCATGGCATTTTCGAGAGTAAATCATGGAATTAATTTTTCATAAAAGAGTGTCTTCTATGTACAAAAGTGTTACCTTAGGTTTCCACTAGGGGCCTGGTCTCCAGCTTTCACGGACAGATCACCTCTGCTTGGAGTACCAGATTTTCGGACATTCTTGAAGTACTCTTTAGGTGCAGCAATTTCTAGAAGCACCCCAAAAGCAGGTGAAGTTGACCGTTTGGAATGATGCAGTTGTACAGTAAAGGTGAGGTCATGATCCGGCTGTACTTCAGAGGTCTGATCCACACTCACAGTGACAGAAAGGTCAGGTTCAATTATCTTTAATGAAATTGAGACAAAGAGAACTTACATGTCAGTTAGAAATCACAACAGTATGTTATTATTTGTTGTGTTTTATTTTTATTTTTCTTTAAATTTATTTTAATTATTTATATTTCTATTAAACTTTGCCTATTTTCTTTGTTTTCTTTTTTTTACTTTATCGGGTAAATTTGGTTTTTTGGTTTTATTCATATTATTTTTTCGAAAGTGTGTACAGCTCATATGTTTCAGTTAATCCATGAGTGTGAGATTTTAACATTTATGGTTTGTTTGTACAAGCGGTCCAAAATAACAGGCCAGCACTTACATTGTATCTTCGGTTTCTGTGGCATGAAGAGACTTGGAGTATTTCTACTCCCCCCTGGATGGGTTGCTAGTCCATCACAGGGTTACCCCCAGCATTTGATTTGCCGGTCCCTATTTATACTCCTGGGTGGAGAGAAGCTCTGTGAGTGTTAAGTGTCTTGCTCAAGAACACAACACAATGTCCCCAGCCAGGGCTCGAACCCAGACCACTCAATCCCAAGTGAAGTAAGCATGAGATCAAAGTTCTTTAGCCCACTGCTGCAAGACCCGTACTGTACCTAAGCCATAAAAGTGGCAAGTACAGTGTATATCGGTACTGTATAGCAGTCAAATAACTTGCACGCTGCAGTCTAGAGCAAGAGGTCTGGGTAAAACAGGGTACGCATAATAATTTCAGAGCAGAAAAACGTACTACACAGTTTGCTGCATAGCCCTTTTTTGCGGGCTCAGGCAATGCAGGCTGCAGTAGTGGAGAGAATGGCAGACTGTAATAAGGAATGCAAACATGTCACTCAGTTAATTTATTTACACTTTTATGGATGCAGTATGTAAAGAGGGTTAGTGAATACTGTGTCTATGATCTACACACCAAAATTTCTAATGCAAAGAAATAATTAAGGGTTCGGAAACCTTCTAATTGAACAAATTTTATTTTTGTCCGAAAAACTTGATTTACCCCAAAAAAACAACACACCAGCTTTCCATTAGCGACAAGAATATGTTGCTACTTTCCGTGAAAATTAGGAAAGCGTACATGTATTAAGTTAGTAACATGATCAACGAAATACCTGCAAATTATTTAAACTTAGAACCTGGAGAGTGCCCAAAACATGCGCATACCTTTTACGTTTTTCTGCTCTCAATGTACAATTAATAAAGTACATGTAACAACATACAGTGCAAATTAAAGACTAATGATTAGGTGATTAGGCTACTGACAATACAAGCACTTGCTCACACCTTCAACAGCAATGAAGAAGACGGTTGACCAAATCCATTGACACTTGTACTCGAAACAACAGCATGTGTTCTTCCATTTGTATTCTGCAGAACATCTACAGCTCTCATGGTTGCTTGATATTCAATTACATTGTCACCAGATGACTGGGAAAAGTTTCCAACATTGATGACAGTGCCAAGATTCCCACCTACATTTGCTCCAGTGGCAGTAAGATCTAAATAAATATTAAATAATAAAGAAAAGTTAAGTTTACTCTTAAAAAAAAATAATTCTATCCAAATAAATCCTATTTAAGTTATTTCATTAGTAATCCATTCCAAAAATAATTGTACAGCATCATGTGCATGAAGTATATACATTTACATGTGTGTAATTAATATATGTCACTGGGTTTGACTACAGGTGTAGCTACTTTACATTGCAAGGCTGTAAGTATGTAAAGTAATAAATTATCTCTTTTATGACCCTGACACTACCAGGGTTTTCATAAATTAAGGGTCGTGCATTGGGCAAAATAACCGGCTATGGGGATGATTTTGCCCACCTGGTTTGGAATTTTTTTCTTATAAAGAAGATTCGTTCAAAACATTTTGCCCGCCTGGGAGAACCAGTTTCCCTCCCGCTGGAAATGATAATGGACCCCTGAACTACATTGTACATGTATTTCTTGATGACTTGAATTTGACAAGCCATAAAAATAAGAATCTGATTAAGTAGGTACAAAAGGACTGCCTTGCTGAGACTAATGAAACATCTTGATATACTGTTGTTGAGAGTTTTTAAAATTACATGTACCAGCTGGTATATAGCCTGCGAACGCAGACGTATTTCCAGCTGTCACTTGGTTCCGCCAAAAAATAACGTCTGCAAACTTGAGCCAGAAAACGATTCTGTGACGTAGTAATTCTAGACAAATCACAGCTTAGCTCAAATAACCCCAGAACTACTGCGCAAGGTATTCTCTGCGAGGAGCGCTCGAGTTTCATTCTATCATGGATTCTGATTGGCCAAGGAGAAACAAAAGTCATTACATCACAGAAATCGTTTCCTGGCTCGGGTTCGCAGACATTATTTTGTCGGCAGAACCAAGTGACAGCCGGAAATACGTCTGCGTTCGCAGGCTAGCTGGTATACTACTTAAAATTAAGGTTTGATTGGTCGCATTAACATAAAATTGTCATCTATTAGAAAATACACTGTGAGAAACAATTGTGCAAGCAACTAAGTTGTACTTTTACAATTCAATAGAAATACAGAACTACAATGTGTCATGAGTACTCAGTTAACACGATACACTTGAAATTTTGGGAGTACTCACACAAACTGAGGAAACTCGCCCAGATAAGGCTCAAGTTCCCTCAATAGAGATATGGAAAATAGTTCCTAATCCTCTCAATAATTAATTGCACTTACTTGTTCCTCTAATCTGCCCGTGAAGTGATTTTATATTTCTTCCAACTTGAATCACATGCCCAGCTATTCCTTCAAAACCTGCTCCATTAATATTCAATGTGAAGTTGGCATTTGTGGACACTGGAATGAGCACAGCAGCATGCAAAACTACATCCTCTCCAATGGTGACAACCATCAAGTCTTGTGTTGGATGGGGCACATTGCTACTAACAACTGAGAGAGCAGATGGAATCACCTGCTTAATCTCAATTATCCGTGTATCAACACTCTCTAATGGCAACCATCCTTTGCGAGTGTATTCCAGGGTTAAGAAGTTGTCATGGTAGCTACCTGCAGTCACGGAGGGTTTGATTTGATTGGACAGGTGTCCGTACACCCAAGAAGATGAATTGAACCTAAAGATAAACAATTAAGAATCATTTTAGGCTAATCAACATAACCACGGCATGGATAACGACTTATAATCTGTAGGCCTCAACTCTCCTGCATCCTCAATGTTACATGGTCATTGGGAAGAAACAAGTAAAGGAACCCACACCCTTAATTATGTGCATCTAGTTAACTGATGTCTGGTTACCGCCTGGGTTGACCATTTCTTTAGGAGTCATCATTATTAGGCAATCTCTACATGTATATGTGGAGCTGTCTGTTTGCACATTAACAACTGGGGCACTCATCTGTTATAATTCTCGAGGAAAAAGGTGGCGTCAAATTCATGCCGAGGGTTTGAAGCCACTTACATGTACATAACTATGTAATCAGAAGTCCCATGTACAGTAACTGTTGTACTTACAATATATCACATACATGTACAGTACATAATATAGAAGGCGTGGTGGCCTCGTGGTTATTGCATTCATCTCTGGATTGAGCGGTCTAGGTTCATGCCCTGGCCAGGGACATTGCATTGTGTTCTTAGGCAAGACATTTTACTCTCACAGTGCCTCTCCCCACCCAGGTGTATAAATGGGTAACCGCAAACTTAATGCTGGGGGTAACCCTGTGATGAACTACACTGTAGCATCCCATCCAGGGAGGAGAAGAAATACTCCTTTAGAGTCGCTTCAATTGCTACAGGAACCAGGATAAGCTCTGGCCTGATGGGCCACTAATGGCTTGTTAATGCAGACTTTACCTTACAGTACATAATAGTAGCAAAACAATTACATAAAGCCCAAAACATTTTTCCCTCACAGCAGGTAGCACTGTAGGCCAATTACTGCACCTTAACAATGTACCATTCATTCCTGTCCCCAGAGCTGCTTGTCCCTATTAGCCAGCAGTATCTTAGCACAAAGAAAATGTGGCTCTGGTGACACATGATTGGCTAGATTCTTCAACTAAGAAATTTCTCTGATTCAACAGTGGCTTGACCCTCCCAAAAATATCTTCTGGACCATCTCTACATACATGTGTATCTTAAAAAAAGAACTTTGGATTATAGCACCTACAAATCATTATGCCCTGGTTGTTCAAATGATGGATAACACAATCCACCGATGGATAAATCACTATTCAATGGATGGGCAGTTTAGTTTGTAATACTAACACTAATATCCTATAGTGTAGATAGTGATTTAACTGGTCGCATCATAGCGTTATCCAGCCTTGGGACAATTGAGCCAGGAAGTTTAAAACTGGCTTAATGAAAACATTTTCAGTTGAGTCCTCAATAATGAACTAAAAAACACATGATTGCCAATCGACCAACCAGAGTTTTAATTCTGATTTAATCAATGCCCTCTGTTAGAATTGATTTGAGTTTATTCAAAACAGTTGCCTTTTTAAACCTATTAAAATAGTTTACTCAAGAAAGCATTTCTCCTTTTCCCAAACTTCCACTCGTTTCTGCAGTAATTGTAATGCCTAGGAAAAACAGGTGATGTGTAGTTCCAGACCTCCCCCGCAGAAAGGATTTTTTAAGACCCCTCCCCCCACCCCAAACCCTCTAGAAATTCCTAGTAGACTTTATACATTTCCTTAAATTGTACAGAGTCCCCTCCCCCCCTCCCTTCCCCCACCTCCAGGAAATTCCAATCCCTTCTGTAGCAGAGTATGGATAAAGTAATTATTATTATTATTATTATTATTATTATTATTATTATTATTATTATTATTATTATTATTGATAACTCACCTTGATAACTCTATTGTTACTCCAGAGCTAGAATTTGTCAACATATTAGTTCCTTTCAAATCTGCACATATGACCTCATATGACTCCAGACTTTGATTCCCAGTCACATTGGAAACTGAGATATTGCTACACAACATTGCTGAAAAACTCTGAACTTCTATGTCCACAGATGGAACTGAAATATCGATTGTGACATTCAGTGCTGGGGCCGTAGAAATATTAGGATTTTTAACTTCAAACTGAAGCTCCATCTTGTCTTTCCCCTCATAGCAACACTCAGGATATTTGGTATTTAAATGATGCTCAAGTAATGGTTGACCAAGCTTCAAAGTGATCAAGGCTTCTTCGGCATTATTATGTATGCCGCTAGGCGAATCATACATGAGAATACAACTGACATTCCCTTCAGCATCTGGACTAAACACTCCTTGTGAAGACTCCACGGCACCAGTAACTTTCACGGTTATGGTCCCGTTAGAAGATTTATTTGCCATGTTTACAGTGTCGCCAAATGCAAATTCTGCAACATTTTTGGAAAGCGGAAACAGGAGTAATGTAGAAGGACTGACACTCAGGAGGGGTCCAAGTCCTTCACGGAGCAACTTTGATTCAACACCTTCTGATAAGCTCAACACAGAACCACTAAGAAATTTCATGGGAGTTGAATTTCTGAATGTAGGAAGCATAAGCTGAAGTTTAAGATTTGAAGTTGTTAGCCTGGGAAGTTGGAAGCTTGCAACAAATGTTATTTCCTCTTCTGATGTTAATGTGACACCTGGTGTCTCTGGTAATGAAGTATCATTTGCCCTGAGCTGAAGATCTTCAGGAATTGCTGTTCTATATGTTGCAATGCTAACTTGACTGAATACGTTCAAAAGAGTTACATTTGCAGTTATATTCAATAAGCTGTCAGCTTTAGCTGAATGTAACAATTTGAGTTGCACGTCGAGGGCTAACGTCCAACTAACATTTTGTGAAGAGACGTTAAATTCTAACACATTAAATCCAGGCACGTTCATCTTGGCAACCTCTGATGAGTTTACATCCAAAGATGGAGTGAAAGAACAGTTTGAAAAATCTGTAATAACTACTCCAGAATGATTAGTCTGGTTTGTTGGGCTTACTATGTCAAACACAATCGGCAATGTGATTAAAAAATTTATGAACACGGAGCTGTTCTTGAGAGACTGACAGGCAGAAGAATTCTCAAACAAGCCACCTTCTGTCCCATTATAATCCAAATGAAATGTCAAATTTAGCAAGTCTCCTCCTTCGATCACAGCAAGTGATGGAGGGAATGCTTCTGAGGTTATCGATAATCCATGACCACCAAATTCTAGTGCCATTTTAGTATGACAAGCTGAGGAGTAAATGTCACAAGGAGATCGTGTATATAAATGTAGGTTACAAACAACCACACAATGGTGGGGGAAGACCTCCACATGTAAACAAATTAAGCTTTCATCCTCTCGATATTTTATGCAACATCCTGGGCAGAG